GAACCACTTAATAGTTGAGATGAAGCTGACTCCCACTGGAGACTGACGGAGTTTCTGACGAGCAACCATGGCGTAAGTAAAATGGTTTCAATGCCCAAGATTTGTTTGTTTGAGGATGACTCCAAGTGGAGGCAGGATGCATTTTCATATCCCCAATATGGGGTAGGGCATCATCTGGAGGAGACAGTAGATACCATATCACTGAAACATGTGATAGTGTCAGAGGAAAAACAACTTGGCAGATCCACTCGAAGAATCTTGTCCTTTACAATTCCAAGATGTGGAAGGGCAGATTCCAAGTATAGAAAAAAATGGAAGACTCCTTGCCAAAAAGAAGGTAGAGTATATATAAGACCCTGTCTGGAAATAGCATTGAGTAGTGTGCCATAGAACGAAGCAGTTACACTATAGATACAGCTCACTTTAAACTATTGCCAGAGCAATTCTAATTCATAGATCGGTCATAGTGTTAGGCACTCCCAGCTGTTTTGCACGCCTAAGCACAACAGACTGCAGCTCATTTACTCTGAAGCATTCCCACACCTTAGGTATATCTAAGATGACCTGGAAAGTAGTTCTTCTGGGTTTGGTGAGACCTGTACTAAGGGGATTGCTGTGGAATAAATAGGCTGCAGATGACAAATAGTGTACATTGCTTTCTCTAGCAACTAATGGCCCTTGTAACTTATGCTTTTTTGCAACAATCATGGACAAAGGTTAAACAATAGCTACCAAATGAGTCTTATCATATTTGTTCTTATTTAGAGGTCTTGCTTGGAAAAGCTTTGCCTGTTGAGTGTTTGCATGCCAAGCAAGTATTAAAGACACAGATCTATAGGGGAAAATGCCAGTAACCCTATTTACTATAGGAAGCATCCACAGTGACACCTACTTACAAAGACAGGCTCAGCTACACAGATGATATATTTTATTTGCCTCTTAACAAGCCAGCAGTGGTCATCCACAAGGCAGCTTCCATGTGAGTACATTTGTGGTGTGGCTTTTATACTATTCATAAGCATTGTTGTTCTGATTGCCACTCTTTGGCCTGGCAAACTATACACCACAGCAGAGCAACTTCTCTATATAATGCCTGACAACAGCCATTAGCCTTCACCATAAGGTTGGCCAGGGCTGGTGGGCCAAACCAGCTGCACATTGTTCAGCCGTTTACCATTTTAGTGGCTCCAAACAAGCCATGGAGGGGCACTGCCACCCCTTGCAGCTTCTTCAAAATCAGGGAAAGCGAAAGGGTGGTAATGCTGGACTTGGAGAGATAGGATACATGTGCAGCAGAATCACATGGAATTGCTTTTTCTGGACGAGACTGAAGCTGAAAAGCAAGATCTTGAATGCTTCCTCATGGGGGAAATATCTCCTGCACACAGAAAGTTAGCAAGTTTTAACTCCTCTTCCATACATGTACTAGATTTTTAAAAATAGGGAATACTTCAATGCTGTAATTGTCCACCTGAAGTCTGAATGGTGTGTTCCAGGAAAATGTGACCCTCTTACTTGATGCTACTGCTGAACAGAAGGATCAAGAGTCTAAACTGTTAATATTTTTAAAATAATTATTTATACATCCACAGCTGATGAGTAATAATGGTAAAGAAACAGCCAGATGCATGAATACCAGTTACAGCATAGCCAGTGTGAGTGTGGTTAGCAGCTACTATGGTATGCACAAATTACCCTGTAATTATTAAAATTACACAAAGAAGTTACATGCTACTTAAGATGCTTAAATTACAGCTGGCACGCAAGGCCATGGCTTTTAATAAGAGCTGCCACCTATGATGTTTTCCAACAACAGAATGATCAAATTTCTACATACCGTGTAGCTATGGAGTTTATTTCTCTGTTAAGAGCACAAAGCATTAATCAGACCCAAAGTGGCACTACTAATGAGAGAATCCTTCTCCTGAACTTCCAATGTAATAACTGCACTTATACATAGTATAGAGAAACTGGATAGGGAAAGTGCCCTCATAATACTAGAGATTGGAGATCATCAATTGAAAATTGATTGGCAGGTGATTCAAGGTGGACAAAACAAAAGTGCTTCATCGCATAGCACAGAATTTGAGGAGCTCACTAGTACAAGATCCGGTATTTGACTACCAGCATTAAAAGTTGATTAGGCAAATCTATAGACTAGATTAGGAGCATAAAAGGTGCAAAGCCGAGAGAGGAAAATGGTCTAGGAAGGCCATGGTTTCTGTCAAAAGGCCTCCTTCTTAGCACACCCCTACTGCATCCTAGGAATGGATGTTCAAAGTCTCTGGCCTACTTCCTAGGATGCTCTAGGAATGAATGACGTTTCTGTGGCCAGAACCATATAACCTTAAAGAGCATTTCTTAGTGTATTTCCTGGTCATTTGAGGGTGGCTCTGTGTGTGTGTGTTGTGAAAGATCCCACTAACACAGTGTGGGCTGTCAAGCTCCTTCAGCAGGAAAGTGAAATAGAGGAGGAGGTGGTGTTAGGAGCCAGAATTCCTGAATAGCTGAGTTGCTTGAGATCCGTTTCTGGGATGAATGCTGGTTTTAGCTCATCAACTATGCCAGCCTTCCAAAATGCTCTTGGGCAGAGAAGTGAGTCAAATGTATGTGTGCACATACGCATGTGTGGCTACTGGCGCCCTAGCAGCGGCTAAGGTTGCACAGCCCTGGACTAGCCTGCCCATGGCTACTAAGCCACGATGGATTCCCCCCCCCCCCACCGAACCCCAGCTGCTGAACGAAAACAGGCAAGCATTCAGTTGGCTTCCAGACCCACTTTGGCCTGTACCAGGAGGGCTGTTCTTACACTTGTTCTGACACAGGACTGACAAGCTACACCTGCTGGACTTCCCCCTCCTACACAACCATTCATTCATTCAGTGTAGGAACCCTGTTTTCTTTTGACATTTGGCCATACTATGTCCTGCACACCACACTAACAAGATACACCTGCTGTGAGTTGCAATGTAGTTAATGCTTTTATACAACCTACACAATTAGCTTGCAATTCAAATTAGCATTGAAGAGAGCAGGGGACCACTCCTCCTGCCAGTAACTGTAGCTATACTAACTTCTAATATTCTATGATCCCCACTTTCTCAGGAAATTTACTGCTCTGCATTTCTGTACAAACATCTGTAGCCTCTTTACTCACATGTTACTCATATAGTAGTCCCCCGTGCACTTAAACACACTTTATACTTTATAGCTGAATTAAGCCCAAATAGCCGTAGATTTTTTCTTCATTTCTATAGCTTTGAGACTTTTCTGGCAACAATATTTAAGATTAGTTTAGGAGAGAGCGCTGCTGTTGACTTGAATGTAACGTTCCTCCTGGCTCTTGCTCTACCCAGCTCTTAAGACCAATAGAAGAGAAAGCTATATATTAAGACAGGTAATGTGGCTGAGAGAGCAGGGTTCAAGGAGGTCAGTCTTTTTACTCATCCATTTATCCCTGGATCAATGGATATTTGTTGGGTTAAGACTTTGAGAACCACTTAACTTTCCCCTACCACACAAACCTCTTTGCTTGATCACAGGGATGGCTTCAAAAGAGAGCAGAGACTCTGCTCTGCAGGAATATGGGATGCTGCAAGGACAAGGCCAAAGGGAGCTCAGAGCCCCATTGGGGAGCTAGCTGGGATTGTCTTAGAAGGGGGCCATGCTCTGCTTGGATGAGACCAAAAATGGCCAAACTGAAGTGGGAAGTGATGTTCTGGCACAGCAATGAAGACAAATTGTATTGGACTGCTAAAACCTGTGCCCCCTTGGTCTGAGATAGACACAGATTCTACAGGGTTGTGCAAGAACAGCTCAAGATATTTTGATGCTAATCTTTCCTTTACTCTGTTCATAGTAATAAACATATAATAATAAACCAAATAATGACCAGCCACTATCTTTTAATGGTGCATCCAAATCTGTTACTAATGAGCTATGCAGCCTCACCCTGCCGATATTAAGTGGACATAGCACTAGGCACGGAACACGAGATATGACTGGAGCAGGGCTGCACTGAATAATCTTCTGTGCGGGGCGATGGGTGGCAGAAGAATTTAAATTCTCAGCACTTACTGCCTGTAGAGAAACTGAAATGATTTTGCACAAAAAGTCTGGGAAAAAGAAAGTGGTCTGTCAAAAATAAAAAAAGTTATGTAATCGTTGCAATCTCATGGTGGCCTAAGCAATGGGCACGTGATTGTTCCAGCGTGAATTGTCTACAAAACTGAGGCTAGCTATCCATTGTAGGACCTAAAAGGGGGGTGGGTACCTAAGGCTAGAAGGAGGCTGATAGCTCCTTCCCAATAGCCAGTTCCATCCTGAAGATGTATTTACAGTCCTGCTCCAACTTGGTGTGATGACAGCATTCCCTGTGATACCCCCTGATTCAGAAGCATCTGGTTGATTGCGTTCCCTTATTTATCCCCATCTTGCTATTTGGGGCCTGGTTGCTCGGGGTATGTTCCATTGCACGCTCCAGGAGATGTAACCCAAGAACACATTGCTGTGATTTCATGAAGGCGTCTTCATGCCAAGGGCTCTTTGAGTCACAGAACGGTGGTGGGTGACCAGGCAGAGAGGGAAGTAAAAGGAACAGGGAGGAGGCACTTTTTCTGGATTGACTGCACCCTGAACCAACCAAGGGAGGAGCGGCGCAGCAGGGCGTGTGTGTGCGTCTGTGGAACGATCTCCTTGCAACATAGTCCACGTGACTCCTTTTTTTTCTCCTCTCGCCATGTGCCTCTCTAGTAACAACCCACCGTGACTAGCCCCATCCCAAATTTAGATGCATCTGTCTCTGCAGCCCACTCTCTGAAACAGATGAGAAATGTTCTCTTTAAGCCCATGGCACTTGCTCAGGTTTTTGAACCAACTGGAGACTGGTCCTTTTGCTAATTGCTTCATTAAGCAAAGACTTCCAGTTCAAGACACTGAGGTGCAGGGAAGGTCAGATCAGGTCAGGGTGTGGAAATCAGCAGCTTGGGTGGATGAGGTGGTCACACTTGGGTAACGAGACGTCTGTTGAGCACGGTGGAGTTGCCCATGGGCACCATGCCATCGAGCAATTCTGAATTTGGCTGTGTCAGTGCAAAGTCTCCTTGGTGCTTCTCCCTTAAGTGAGCCTTCTCTCGGATGGCAGCGGGGGCCGGAGATGGTGGTGGGGTGTATGGGCAAGTAGTAATGTGGGTGTACTGGCTTTGCTCCTCACCCTCTGTCTCACGGTGGTAGAAGTAGCTGAAGTTGGAGACAATAACAGGCACCGGGAGGGAAATGGTGAGCACCCCAGCGATGGCACACAGGGATCCCACAATTTTGCCACCAACAGTCTCAGGGTACATGTCACCATAGCCCACCGTTGTCATGGTGACCACTGCCCACCAGAATGCTGCAGGGATGCTGCTGAAGTTTGTGTCGTCGTGGTCAGCTTCAGCAAAGTAGACAGCGCTGGAGAAGAGGATAACTCCAATGAAAAGGAAGAAGATGAGCAAGCCAAGCTCCCTCATGCTGGCCTTGAGGGTCTGCCCCAGGATCTGCAGCCCTTTGGAGTGCCTGGAGAGCTTGAAGATTCGGAAGACCCTCACCAGCCGGATAACCCTGAGGATCGCCAAGGACATTGCAGGCTGGCCTACACCACGCTGGCGTGCAAACTCAGTGCCGAGGGCCACGAAGTAAGGGATGATGGCCACAAAATCAATAATGTTCATGATGTTTTTGAAGAAGGCTGGCTTACTTGGGGACGCCATGAACCGCACTAAGAACTCAAACGAGAACCAGCAGATGCAAATAGTCTCTACAATGAAGAAGGGGTCTTCCGAATGGGATTTCGGTGGCAGTAGGGCGTAAGGTCCACTGCTATTCAAACGATGATGATGATGAATCTGTGGGAAAGCCAGGGGTGGGGGGGAGAGAGAGAGACAGAGAAACAAAGATACTAAAGCATAACTGTGCCTTACTACTTTTAAAGGAATTAAAAATGATCCATACGGTTTGAAATCTGTCAGGAGAAGCAAGCTCCCTTATGATGTCAGGACCAGCCCACCTCAGGTACAGTCCTACCATCCCTGACATTTCCCTCTGTGAGGACACCTCCATTACCTTCCCCAACACTTATAAAGGCAACAGACACACCCACAGAGACACAAATCCCAGTAACAGACTCCATCATAGCTGCAAATACAGACATGGGTCTGCGTCACTCCTCTCCCACTTGTCCTCGATCTGCTCATTGTTGTGGCCTTCATTTAGGAAGAACAGGCATCTGTTTAGGACCTTTCTCCTGTCACAGCCCGCATTAGCTCAGGGAAAATCTGTCACGGTCTGCAATAGAGGCAGAGCCCACCATGGACCAAGGTACAGCTGTGACTCTTACCCTTGTCCACCAGGCATTTGCAGGAAGAGGCTTTCCTCTTCCACAAATGCACCATCCATCTGCTCTGTAGTTGAGAGACAGAGCAGGAGGGAATAAAGCAGAGGTGGACAGACTTGCTCAATGGAAGGGCCACATGCGGTAAATGTCAGGTGTTTGATAGCTGCAAGGGGGTATCCGCGGGTGGCTGCAGCAAGCTGCAAGTGGGCACCTTCCGGCATCTGCAGCAAGCGGCGAGCCACAAAATAAACCCCAAGAGCTGTAAGTGGCCTGCGAGCTTCAGTTTGGCTACTCCTGGAGCAAAGTATCTCAACAGCCATGAGAAGACTAGTAAGAGGCCGCAGACTGGGAGAGCACCAAGATTCACACTGAGAAGCCTGAAGGTAGATATTTGGAAGATAACCTGGAAGTTCTATACCTAGTGGAGGTTATCAAAGGATGGTGATTTGCCAGCTATCTCTTCTCCTGACAAAAAGGGCAGCCAATCTGTGGCCCTCCAGATTTTGATGGACTATGGCTCCCATCGTCCTTAACCAGTGGCCAAGCTGGTTTCAATGATAGAAATTTGAGGACGTGAAGTTCTCCATGCCTGTCCTACAGGCTGTAGAAGGAAGGCAAATGGGGGGTTCTCTCAAGAAGGCCAGGGTGGCGGCGGCAGCAACAGGTTCACGGAGCCAGCCTTCAAGGGTTCCCACACCTGGCTAGTGCTAGGGCTAAGGCGCTGGGATTCCTCTATACCAGTACTGGGAGTAATCTCCTGATGCTTGGGAAGCCATGCAAACACTAGTTACTCCAGAAGCAAAAACCCAACATGCCAGTGCTGACTTTGAGTGGCAACAACAGGAGAACAGAGTAACTCTGGCTTAATAAAAAGAAGAGAATAGGAAAGGCAGGAGGAGGAGGATGGAAAGAAAGATGTGTCACCAGGCATCAAAATACTTTTGCCTTATTCATTTTTATCACTGCCCCATACCATTTGGATTTCTTCTTTTCCTAGTTCAGGAGCTACATCTCTTCACATTCTCCCTGATCCCCCTATTAACAGAGCAACTGCTGAGGAGCTTCCACTTTTCCCACAACTTTCCTGATGAGACCACAATTGTACAAGTTTTGTGCCACAGAGAGAAAATTGAGGTTTTTAAAATCAGAGCATGGGTTGAGCCCTCGAGTAGCTCTCTGTGGCCCTGCCTGAGCTCTCTTCTCCCTGTTCAGAAATAAGTTCTGTGCTGCGTGGTTGCAGGGCGATGGAGGCAGTCACAAGCGTGGTGCAGAGAACTGTGGGTTACAGACGCTGGTTCTTGGCTGGCATTGTGGGGGGTTCATATTTGGGGAGATCGTACTGTGCAGTGCAGCCTTCCTCAACCTGGTGACCTCTTGATGTGTTGGACTGCAACACCCATAATTCCCAGTCCAACACATCTGGGGGGAGGGGGGCAGGTGGAGGAAAGTAGAGGAGAGGCAGAGCTGTGAATGGGGAGGCCGCTAGCTTAAATCTCACTATTACAATGAACTTACTGGGCCTTAAGCGAAGAGCTGCCTGTCAGCTCATACAGTCCCCCACCCTCACTTGTAATGCAGGTGATAATAACACTGACTTATCTTTCAAGGTCCGTTCTAAGGCTTAGAAATTTTTTTAAAAATGAAACACACTAAGTGCTTGAAACTACTATACAGGTTTTAAGTATTCACAGCCCCCCCCCCCCCCGCATGCTTCTGCCCTATTTGTGGGCAGTGTTTCAGTCAGAGTTGGGGAACCCGTGGCTCTCCATCATCACGGACCACCGGTCATGCTGGCTGAGGTTGGTCTGAGTTGAAGGATTGCATTTTGCACACACTAGATTGCAATTGGTTTGCTTTTTATGCTGTGAACAGCTCTGAAGCGGGAAAGCGGTAGAAAAAAACATGGCAAGTAAATAAAATTCCAAGACACTAGGAATGGGACAGTCTATAAAAGCTTTAAATAAAATAAAATAAAATAAAATGCAGGTATGTTTTACTGGCAGGAATATACAACCAAACTAGGAAGATGATACCAGCGATTTTAATGGTTTGTCCCTCACCCACCAGCAAGTGGCAAAACCATTAGTGCTAAGCCACTCAGGCCTGCTGCTTTGTTCCCACGGCTGACATTTACCCAAAGTGATCTGCGAGGGAATCGTATCGGCAACTTAAAAGGCAGAGTTAGGATTTCAGTGAGATCAAGCCTGGGGACCTTTGAGGCACCATGGTGCACACTCACAACATACGTTGTCAAAATGAAGTGTTCCAGTTCCTCGAGGGCAATGCGTAACACAATTCATCCATTTTCTATATGTGAAAAATATAACAAAACAAGAAGCAAAAGCACCTAGATTGGTGTGACCTAGAGAGCAGGAAGAGCAGAGGAGCTGTTAGCTTAGGTGGTGGGCAGTTGGTACAAGTTAGGGCACCGTGGAATAGGATAATATCCAGATCTTTATGCAGCGGATTTATTTCAAGACAGTGGTTAGCGGGAATCTAGCCATGAGAGGCAGTGGGAGAGGGAATACCAGGTAAGCCTAGAATTCCCAGGGGGAATCAAAATCAAAGCAGTTCCTAAAGCCTGGAGAAAAGCCGAATGTCAAGGGCAAATGTCCCTCCCAGCTCTGTCCTCTGGTCAGCTCTAATTTCCTGCCTCGCTAATTTTGACTCCTGTTCTCTATGTAAGCAGTGCTTGTTTGCTTTGCAAGCAAGTGAAGTACATGGTGAGTTAGGGGAAATTCTGCCTTCACACTGCATTGGACTCAGAAAAGCCCTCAGGACTGGGTTGGCCTAATGTCTTTTTGTAGAACATGCAGAGGATTTCTTTTCCGCATCCCCAGCCTTGGATCTGGGTTGGGATGCAAAGAGGGCTTGGTGCATTTGTGGTAGAGATAGTTTTGAAAAGTGTTTCAAAATAAATGGTGTATTTTCTATTTATCTTGCATAGTATCCTACCCATCTTTGAGTAAACTCAGAGCAGAATTTATTTAGCTGTCAAGCAGTCTTTCACGCAGCTACTAGCAAGCCCAATTTGCTTAATTCTAAAGATGGAACTACACTTGTTACCTTCTGACCATTCCACATACCCATACAATCATTCTGCGTACTGATACAAACTTACATCTGAATGGATGCTTATGCAAGCAAAACGGCATCATCTATGTGCAATGGAGACACCTCTCCATTGCAGAAATACCAGAAAAAACACACAAACAACTAAACCACCCCTGCACCAAAAAGCCCTATTGTGGCAGGGTGGACCCCCCACAACTGTTCCATGATGCAGACAAAGCAAGTACAAAAGGTAGGCATGGTGGGGCAACTACCACAGGCCCCATCCCAGCAGGAGCCAGCTAATGAAAACACTCTGGATTTTCTTCACCATCATTGCAGCCTCCCTGTTCACCTTTCTCTTACTCTGGCTCAGTCAACAAAGAGGGCGAGAACATCAGAGAAGCCATGCTGGATCAGACCAAATGTCCATCTAGTCCAGCACTCCATACACACGGTGGCAAAACAGCTGCCCACAGGATCTCTCTAGCTGGATGGGTGCAAGGCCTCCCCCTGCCCAGCTCCCATGCAACTGGTCCAGGCAGGTATGCCACCTCTGGTAAAGGAGCTATCGTATAGCCAGCAAGGCTAGTAGCCATGATAGCCTCCTCCTCCATTAATCTGTTCAATCCCCTTTTAAAGCCATCCAAACCGGTGGCCATCACAACTCCCCATGGCAGCAAATTCCATAGTTGTATTATACATTGTGGGAAGGAGCACCATTTGTCCTTCTTCCTAAGACGATGAACTCTTCCTACACTAAAGTCATCTGGTATATAGTATACAATTATATTGCAGTCCACTGTTACAGGAACATTTAGTCTGTCACAGAGACCCTATAAACAACCTTTCTTGACCTGGAGTCCCCAGATGGTATTGGACTACAACTCCCACTACTTTGCACCAATTGCCTGTGCTGACTGGAAACGATGGGTCTTGGGAAACATTACCCTACAGCTTCTTACCTTTCATCTACCACTCTAATTTTGCCAGGTTGCCAGCCTGCTTAACAGTCATTGCATTCCTTGCCACACCTATTTTTTGGATTTGCAAGCCAAATCTTGCCTGCTATAGCTGAATGACAATGCTTGCAGCTGCAACATTTGTTAAAATCCAGGTTTGCCCATGCCACTTGTGTAGAATCTCCTTCACTACTGGAAGTACTTGTTGAGATGGATCAGATATATCAACCTATGATCCATGTTTAGAACAAATAAGATAAACAGCAATGGAATAGAGAACTGGATTGTCCCATTTTGCCAAATGAATGGATCAGTATTTTAGTATCCATATCTGAAGTGTTTACAGATCTTGATTTATACCTCACTCAGCAGAAATTTTTTTCCATGTCTCTTGAATGCCAGAAAGGCATCTTTAATAAAGACTTGTGTAAGTGGGCTAATTGCTGGAGTTAACACAGCTAAAGTTTCTTTGTATCATATGTTTTGACAATTCCCAATA